TTTCTATTTTATGGACTAGTTTGAGGAACATTGGTGTTAGTTGTTTCCAAAGGCCAGGTAGAATTCAGCAGTGAATTCTTTCTTTGTTGGGAAACTCTTTATTACTTCTTATGGCTTATTAAAAAAAATGACTGCAGAGAAAAGGAAGGGAGGAAAAGCAGAACTAAAATCCAAATTCTCAATTGCTTTCCTGAGCAGCTATCTACTCAGGAGTAGCTATCTATCTATCTGTCTATGACTCTGAACTCATGGTCAGTTGTAAGTGCCAGCAGCAGTTCTTTCCTATGTTGTAAGCTGCTGGACTGTGCTTTCATGCACGTTGCTACAGTTTCCTAGCTATAGCTAGTAGCCCTGTTCTGTCCAACCAAAAGGCTCTATCTTTTATCTCAGCAGGGATTTCTATGTAGGTATGTCTGTTTCTTGCTTTTTCTTACTGGATTCTTTGCAAGAGAAAGAACATGGGATGCTTCAATGCTTCCATACTCACCCAGGGGCAAGCCTGCCAAAAACCCCATGGTCCCATTGTTCTGCTTTGCCAGCAGTTACCAGTGCACTTGTGGGCTGTTGATGGGATCAAAACTACTTTGCTGCCTTTGCTTAGTATTTTAGCAGTTCTGCAAGGGAGTTAGGTGAGAAAATTGCTGTTTATTGGGGTGTAGCCACAAGGAGTAATGACAGGACATCTTAGTCTGTCACTATCTTGCTGTCCAACTCCCAAGCCCTTTTATTCTTTGCAAAGAACCAACTCTTTGTTTCATTGATTCTTTGTATCATTCTTAGTCAACATGTTGTTAATTTCTGCCTGATCTTTATAATTTCCTTTCATCTACTGATTGTGGTTTTGACTTATTCTTATTTTTCCAAGAACTTGAGGTGCATTATTAGGTTAGTTTTCTGAGATCAGATTTTTTAAATATAGTCACTCAAGGCTGTAACCTTTCCTATTAGCACAGTCTTTGTTGTGTCCCAAAGGTTCTGGAAAGTTGTGTTTTCATTTTTGCTTGATTCTACATTTTTTTATTTTCCTCATAATTCTCAGATGACCCACTGATCATTCAAGTGTATTTTTCATTCTCCATATATTTCTCTACTTTATGAAGCTTCTATTGCTCTTGATTTCTAGTTTTATTCATTGTGGTCTGATAAAATATAGGAAGTGATTTCAATTTTGTTATATTTGTTTAAGATGCTAAAATAGCTACTTTAAAGATAGTTATATGAGCTGCTAAGAAGAATATGGAGTCCACAGCAGCTGAATGAAACATTCTGTAAATAGCTGATAAGTCCATTTGATGTCTAGTGTCTTTAATTCTGAAATTTCTTTGTTGAATTTTAGTCTGAATGACTTATATATTGGTAAGAGTAGGGTATTTAAGAAGACAATTATTATGTTAAGGTGTGTCTGTGCTAAGTTCAGTAGTATTTGTTTAATAAACTGGGTGTGCCAACGTTTGGTGTATATATGTGAAAAATGTTATCACCTTTAGATAGATTGTTCCCTTTATTAATATGAAGTGACCAGATATGAGTATAGTTGCTCCTGCTTGCTTTGGGGCTCCAATTGCTTGAAAGATCTCTTTTTTTCCATTCTTTCATTTTAAATTTGTGTTTGTCTTTGCCAGGGAAGTGCATTTCTTACAGGCAACAAGTGATTCAGTCTTGTTTTTTAATCCAATTCTCCAGTCTTTTGGTTGGGTAATTGACCATTGACTTTCAGAGTTAATATTGAAAGGTCTGCCATATGTTTAATGTTAACATTTATTATAAACATTTTCTCTAATGTGAGTACTCCAGGTGTAGAGTAGATAACCAAACAATAAATCAATCTTTCATTTTTAGTGGAAATTTATTTCCATAGTGTAAAATATTTTCACCATTCTAAGTTCAACCTACTAAAATGGTGCAACTCAGGCAGGAGTTGGGAATTAATGTCAAGTAGCACACCATGACTCAGCACAAATGAGGCAAAACCATGAAGAAGTGTTGTGTTTTCAGTATTTATTACCTTGATTTTTAGTAAGTGAAAGTTCTTATAATATTGATTGTATTTAACAACAGGCCTGCAAGATTCCTGAAAATTAGCCCTCACCAGCCAGTATGAACCACTTCTCACCACTACAGGTGTGATGTATGGCTCTAAAATCTTCAGAAAACTTTTTTAATGGTAATAATTCCAAGAGAATGTCAAATATTGACTGGTGTGTATATTTACTATGGTTGCTACTGGCTCTTAGTGCCTTAGCTAAGGCATTCTTTCTACCACTGAAACAAACCTCTCTTTTAATAGGAAGCCTCTCTGGCACATATAGAAAGTCTGCCTACATTCCAAATGTGGTTATAGTTAGTTACTGATTGCCAAGAATCGAGAGAGTGAAGTGATTCATCTGCTATTACAGTGCAGATGTCTTGATTCCACTGTTTGGCCACCTCAGAAGGACACATCCCTCTAAGAATCTCCAGTTTCTACCTGTGAGATTTCATCTCAAGATGCAGGTAAGTAAAAATGTGTATGTAACATTAGACAGTTCCATATAACTCAAATATTCTAATTCTCATAATCACAATAAGAAAATTCTCAATCTGTGTGACCCATTGTTTTTCAGGCTGAGGGTATCTATAAAGTTTATATTTAGAAAACATTTTCTGAATGTTCTCGGGGTGGCTAAAATTGAAGATCTAAGTTTAGAAATTAATAATTATGATGAAGGAAATTATTTTAAAATGAGAAATGTGTTCTTAAACTTGAGATTTTTTTAAGTGTATATAGAAATGGTGATTTGGTTTCCCATTGAGTACAAGTCAACAGTCTTAAACTGTACATTTAGGATTCAATTCTAAGAGAATTAAGTTCCCCCAAATTGCTCTCATTTACCAAAGAAAAGCTTTCCCTTTTTTCTCTATTGCTCTGCAAAACTCCCATGTAGTTTAAAGTTACCCTCTTTCATTTTAATAAGATAGAAAAAGCACATTTTCCTTCATAGAACAGTAATTCCAAAAAATTCAATAAAGCATGAAATGCAGTTAAAGCTAAACAATCTATAGTTCTTCTGATAGTGTTTTAGACAATGATAGATTGATTCTTCTGTATATAATCTTAGATATCTGACAATTGCTTTTTATACAATGAGCTAATTTTAAATATAGAATTAAAGTTTAGCTTAACTGGTAACTTGCTTACCAAAAGAGAAATATCACAACTGTGGCTTCTCACACAAAATAGAGAAATGGAAGTTAGTTAACCCAGGTTCCTTTCCTAGCATAGCCACTGAATTTCCACTATATGAAAATAGGTAAATTCCTGAAAATAAATTATATAAATTATCATAATTTGAATAAATTATATAAATATATATAAATACTTTTTGTGTGTGTGGTATGGGGAATTGAATGCTGGACTTCAGACATGATAGGCAAGTGATCTACCATTAACCTATGCCCTCAGTCCAACAAAAATCTTACTCTTAATTAAGAAATTTCCGAATTACATATAACTGATTTATGTATAAGCTTACTGCACGTTCAGCTTTCTGGAAATAACGACTCTACCTGGGTGCCTGTCAATTGCATTTATTTTTCCTTCTCCAGAGCTGTAATTTGGAATTTTTCTTCTGTTTTTTTTTCTCCTCCCCCAAGCCACCTTCTCCATGCTAATTGGGAGGATGGGGACTTTATCCTCTCTCCTTCCCTTCCCCAAACCTGGTCTCCCACTTCACCTTTGGTTCTCTGTAGACTTTTTGATAGCAGGATGGTAGAATAAAAGGACTGAGATGGGGAAAAGGATGGGCAGAAAATGAGCTCTCAGTCATCCTACCCCACTCTACCCTGGCTCCACGGTTGGCCTTCTTCAGAACACTGGGGGCTCTAGAGAAGCTACAAGAGCTTGCTTGGAAATCAGTCATAAAGTCACTTTTATGGAAGAATACATCCCAAGTTACAAACAACTAGCTTACAGAACACAATCTCTTTAAGAATTGCTGGGCACTGGTGGCTCATTCCTGCAATCCTAGATACTCAGGAGGCAGAGATCAAGAGGATCCTGGTTTGAAGCCAGCCTGAGGCAAATAGTTCACAAGATCCTATCTTGAAAAAAAAACTCAATACAAAACAGGGCTAAAAGAGTAGCTCAAGTGGTAGAGTGCCTGCCTCACATAGCCTGAATTCAAGCCCAAGGAGCACCAAAAAAAAAAAAAAAAATGTTGCGGGCACTGAGTAATACACTAGTATAATGTTGTTAGGAACATTCATCCTCAAATCCTCCAGGAATGCTGCTGCTGGACATAGGTGATTTTTCTACCTGGGAATATGGCCCCAGTATTCAATATGTTCCTCTCCACCTGGTTCCAAACATGCTGATGGCAACAAGCAGGCACTGTAGAGACTTGAGTCTACAGCCATCCAACCCTCGAGGCACCTGATCTGGTCTGATCTCAGCAGCTAAGCAGGATCAGGCCTGGTTAGCACTTGAATGGGAGAAATTATAGAGGCTTGGGAATCTCTGTAAATCTCAAACAGGATTAATTACAGCCAGTTCTTACATTTGTTTCTTGACCTCCCTTTAGCCATTCTTATTCATACCCTGTTTATCAAAAGGTAATTGTCTACCCCAAGATGAACCCTTATATGTTGATAATAATAGAGCTATGGAGGTGTCCGTTACTGTAGGCAATTGCTTTAAATTTATCATATTGATTTCTAAAATATATTCTATTCAAGAATAGAAACCGCCCCCCAATTATTGATCCAACAGAACTGCAAAATCATAGAAGGAAGAGTCCTGACAGCACAGTGTGAGCATGAGAAAAGATGTGAAGTCAGGAGATGAACATTTAATATTCTGGTTGCTGCTGTTAGTCTGGTGACCTAGAGCAAATCACAGAGCCTCAGTTTCTTCATCTTGCAGAGAAGGAGTAATTTATGTGGTGTGGCTGGGAAAAGCTAAGAAAAGACCATTAGAACATACTCTGTGATCTATAGAGAATTAGCTCATCCAACGCCCTCACCCGCTTTCATCATCACTGGACAGCCTCTGCTTGATCATCTTCAGCAATGGGCAGCTCATCTCTGGATGGTCATTTTCAGACATCTCAAATAGCTGGAAGAGTGTGTGTGTGTGTCTGTTTCCTGGTTAATCCTGATCATCCATTCCAGCTTAAAGAGCTTCACTAAAGGGAGGGACAAGCAGTAAGAACCTCCTCAGTAAGAACAAAGATACGGAACATTTGCCACAGGCCTTATGCCCCTGCTGTGTTTTGTTAGCAACTGCTTTATCTTACTCATCATGGCTCCTCTGACCAAGCAGAGTGAATGTGCTTTCTCTGAGATGCAGGGAGGAAGCAGCCAACATAGACGAAAGTGTTCCTGAACTGTCCAACAGCCACACGGTGATTTAAATTAAAATTAAAACTTTAGTTCATCATTTCACATGCTTGACAGCAGACATGATTAGTTATTAGATGGCACAGATATAGAATGTTTCCACCATGACTGAAGATCCTATTGAACAGGTGTGGTTGGTGGTTCATATCACCTACAATGGGCCAGGAAGCTGGTAAAGACTTTACATGCAAGCACTAAAACCTCAATGTGGGACGTTTTACTATTCTTTGCAAATAATTATGTATTCACATGATTAATTAAGCTCTATCCTGGTAATAAGGAAAAAACTGTCTTTAATTCACAAATTAACATCCTACTCTTCACACAGTTTCCCAACAGTCCTAAGAAAATGGAATAGTATTGATTCATTACCTGTGTTATCAAACACTCATTCCCACTCATACTTGGACAGCTGAGTCTCTCCCTAAGGCAGAAGTCTTTAAATCATAAAGTACCACACCCAGATCAGAACTAAAAGAAAGTTGAGATCTTAATTTAGCAATTGCAATGTTCATTTCTTCCTGATACTTTAGACCTGTGATTGATTAAACTGAAGGAAGTGGTGAAATGCCTTAGCTACACAGTTCTTTCACTGCCTATTGAATGAGGAAGTTCTGCCTGGATATTCTATATAACGTTTATATTAACGTCTTTCCAGGGACAGTTAGAGTGTCCACATTTCTTTTTGTCTTGAAAACATGTATAGAAAGGGATTGGGAATGGTATTTCAGAAAAGAGCTATGTTAGTCAGATTTTCTACTGCTATGACAAAATATCTGAGATAAACAACTTATAAGGAGGAAAGTTTTTTTTTAGTTCATAATTGCAGAGGTTTCAGTCCACTGTCAGTTAACGCCATTGGTTTTTGGGCTGTGATGAGGCAGAACATTATGGTGGGAGTGTGTGGTAGAACAAAGCTACTCACTTTAAACTTGATCAGAGTAGATGATCCAAAGGTTTTTGTGTTTCCAATGACTTCCCAAAGTAACTATGACCCAGCTCCTATGGATACACCTGATACATCTCCCCACTCATGCTGCTGCCACAAACTTCAATCACAGTGGCCAGCCTGTATAACAACTCTAGCCTTTTTCTAAGACTTATTAAATTAATAGGACAACACAGCATTCCAGCTCCCCCAGACTGTCCATATCAGGTAGAAAACCTTCCTCTAACTTTACCAATATACAGCTTTGGGTTCTAGGTAACTGAGTTCCTTTAAATTACTTGTGAATTGCAGTGTCTATATCTAGGATTCACAGTGTGAGGATATAAAAAACCCATTCTTATCCCACTGAGATTTTCAATTCAAAATTAAAATGACACAAGGGAGAGTGGATTCTCTTTCCATAGGTTATATTTAGGAATAAAAGAAACAAGTGGACTGGAGGAGTGGCTCAAGTAGTAGAGCGCCTGTGATTGAAGGGTATGAAGCCCTGAGTTCAAACCTCAGTATCACCCCCTGCAAAAAAAAACAAGAAATCTCCAAATTAAAAGAAATAAGTATCACTCTCTTTTGATTATTTGCTGTGATCTTATTCAAGGCAAACATGATCTTTGGAGGGTGTTGGGGAGAGTCACAGAGTTGAGACAGGGTCTCACCATGTAGCCCAAGCTTGCCTTGAACTCATGATCCTACTGCCTCAGCCTCCTGAGTGTGGGAATTATAGGCATGAGTCACTACACCCTACTTTGGAGGAGTTTTCTATCTCTAAGATTCTTTTTCTGTAACCCTTTCTCTGCCCTAATTCCTCAGGAAGCAGTATAATGAGGGGAAAATACAACAGTTTTGTTTAAGTGTCTTTGTCATTTATTTTTATTTTCAAACACTTATGCTTTAGACTGAGATCAGGAGTCAAAATCTGGCAAGTAACCTTGGGAAAGTTACTTATATCTCAATCTCTTCATCTATAAAATGTAATTACATCTTCGTTTGAAGGTGATGTGCTTTAGTGCGATGCCATAAGAAGCATTTAGAAGCACACGGCACATACCAAGAACTTGGCAAAGTTGCTTATTTCTCCCACTCTACTTCCACTGAAATGAATATTAAAACCATAAAAGAAAATTACACTTCTGTTTTTGTAGGGTTGTTATTGGGTCTTTATTCTTTTCTGAATTGCTTAGGTCCCATAATACTCAGTCTATTAATAAAGAAATCATGCTGCATGGATAAGCATTTAGAAGATAGCCTAGCACCCAGTTTTGGCATTCTGCGTGCCCTTTGGCTGCTACTACACAGAGTGAGGCAGAGGAGTCAGGGTCTCTTGATCATCACTCTGGCCAATGAGGAAGACTTTGAAGTAGCTATTCTATACATAGGATCCCACCCCAGGGAGAACGCCATTCCTGAGGGTGACTCAGCCACCACTACCCATATGCTTTATCTTAAATCTTGCAAAGCATTAGCTGAAGTGCTATACTTCTGAGTCATAAGCCAGTATCCTGGAAAGGGTTTCCAGCAGTGGTTTGCAAGCTACTGCCTGAGGGCCAAATCTACCTTACCTTTTTTTTTGTTTGTACACCCAGGAACTAAGAATGATATTTACATCTCAACTGGTTGGGAAAAAATACAATGAAAGTTTCATGATATATGAAAATTATGTGAAATTCAACTTTGGGTCCACAAATAAATTTGCACTGGAATTACAGCCACATCATTTATTTATTTGCTATCCCTGGATACTAGTGGGCTACGTACGACAGCAGAATTGAGTAGCTGCTACACAAAGGATGTGACCTAAAATGTTTACTATCCAGATACAAAGTTTGCTGTTTCCAGGTGTAGAGCATAGACTGGGGCCAGAGGGCATGGCAGCATAGTTCAGCTCTGGGTTCCTTCAACTTGGGTGTCTTCTCTTAGCTCTTGTGTTCCTCAGCTACACAATGGGGATGATCATAGCACATACTTCATGAGGTTTGTTTTGTTTTGGCTCTACTCTACTCAGGTTTGAATACAGGGCTTCCTGCTTTCTAGGCTGGTGCTTTACCATTTGAGCCATTCCTCCAATTCTTCATGAGATTTTATGAGGATTGAGCAAATATGTAAGGTGTTTAGAAGATGGTCTAGTACTTATTAAGCACTGTATATAAATTTGTCGTTACAGGTTGCCACAACTATTTTTCCAGAAAGTAAAACAGCAGTGGCTTGCCAATTTGTTAGCAATAATTGTAAGAATTTCATTTACAACATGACATTAAAATGCAATTCTTGAGTGTGGGGAAGTAAGAAAGTCTAGACTACTGGAATTACAATTATCTTAGTCACTTATCCATAAAACTAATTCTGAATTACTTATAAATATTGTATTTACTATACACATCTTTCAGACTTGAGTCTTAAAAGAGCTTATACTCAACTTTGAGTTCAGCTCTGATCATCTAGCTGATTAAGGCTTCAAAACAGAGGCTCAGGGACTCAAAATGACCAGCCTACCTTCATGATTTCCATGATATTTGAAAGCAGTAATGTACTTCCTGAATGAAACACAAACTTTGGCACATGAGAGAAGACATGTGGTATTTGTCTTGCTGAGTCTGGCTTATTTTACTTAACACGATGATCTCCAGTTCCATCCATTTTCCTGCAAATGACACAGTTTTATTCTTCTTTATGGCTGAATAAAATTCCATAGTGTATACCATATTTTTTAACCCATTCATCTGTTGTTGGGCACCTAGGCCGACTCCATAATTTGGCTATTGTGAACAGTCCTGTGATAAACATGGTGTGTAGGTATCTCTATTGTGTGCTGTCTCTATGTCTCATATACATAGATGGAAATATCACAATGAACCCCCCAAATGTACAATTAATATGTGCTCATAAAAATTGTGGACAAAACTCTAAGAGGATAGAGACCAAAAGAACAAACAAACAAAAACCCAGGTGACATCATTTTTGTATTTGCTATGAGACAATAGAACTGTTAGAATTTTTCTCACTATTCAGGACTTTCATTTTTGGAGTTAGAGTATCCAGAAAGAGGACTTCAGAGGGAAGTTACACATAAAAGGGAAACACTGAAGTCAGTAAGAGCATAGCCCAGGAACTTAAAATGGAGGGAGAATGTCCACCATGATGGCAAGCACAATGTCACTCTCCAATACCACCCAGCAGATGCTCCAATTGCTTTTAAATATTCACGACTCTGTCAATGTTTCTGTGCAACCTCCACACCAAATATAGAGAATCTTGCTTATAACACATTTTTCAAGAGGTGAAAATTCAGAAAAACATTTTCCAGTCTTTAACCGTAAGAGCAAGCAAACAATTGTGCTATTGAAATCACATAAAACAAAACCAAACTAAAAATCTCATGTCTAAGTTACTTCAGACTGTTCAACTGGATGAAAAGAAAATTGTGTAAAGCAAAGGAAATAATTTTCTGAATAGCCCAGGTGAAGCATCCATCTCTCATCTTCCTTAATATTTATTTACTTATTTATTTATTTACACTTAATTTGCTCTAAACTTTTCTTGTACAAAAAGTAGCAGGGCAATTTTGGAGAAAGAGATTGTTTTTGCTTAACTCATCCAGAAAATTCAAACAATTCGATTTCCTAACATCTGGGTGAAGCTGACCCCACCCAGAGAATACCCTACCCCTCAGTCTGTATATGAACTACACCCAGTTCAAGCAGGCGAAGTGTTGTCCCCTGGCAAGTAGACACACCATTGTCGTTCAATGAATGGTGCCATCGAAA